ATTCTGCCCTCCCCTCCCTTTTCCTGAAGAACCAGAAAGCAAGACGCTGTGGCAGAAAGCAGGGGATTGCAAAATACTTGATATTGATTATCTTGAAACCAACAGATTCTCGGGGATTCCCAGTGCAAAAGGCAAACACTGAAAAGTAGAAACAAGAGCTCTAGACATACAGGATGGATGTGATTTCATGGGTTAACATTTGCGCGTTAGAAGAGAGGGGTTTGGCACAGAGGTGTGAAAGATGTTTGCAGTAGGTGTGAGTGAGCTTGGAATTTCCCAGGAATGGGGTGAAATGGCCAACAGCCTCTTTAGAATCCTCTGTTCTGGTGAAAGAAAAACAAGAAAAAAAGAAATGACAACAAAATCCCTGAGTACTCCAAGTAAAACGTGAAACAAAAAATCAGGGGGTGAGAATTGCCTGAAGGACAATCTCTGTGCTATACAGGGAGATTGCAGGAAAAGAAAGGAGCAGAGAGGGAAGGATAGAACATTTTGTCCAGACTGTGAAATTATCACCCTGGGTTTTGCCACGTTCCTGTCTCAGCAGGAGGAACTGAAATTCAGCATGGGAGCAGCAAATGAAACAGCAGTATCCGAGTTCATCCTAGAGGGTTTCCCAGAGCTTGGTCAAAGGCTGCAGCTGCTTCTCTCTCTGATCCTTCTGCTCATGTACCTGACAACAGTGACAGGGAATGCAACCATCATTTTCCTCGTGTGTGTGGATCACCACCTGCAAACGCCCATGTTCTTTTTCATTAGCAACCTGGCCTTCCTGGAAATCTGCTTTACATCCTCCACAAGCATCAAATTGTTTGCCATCCTGAGTTCTGATCAGAAAACCATCTCCCTGAGCAGCTGCTTTGCCCAATCCTATTTCTATTTTGCCCTGGGTGGCACAGAGTGTATCCTGGTCCTTGTCATGTCCTTTGACCGCTGTGTTGCCATCTGCCAACCCCTGCACTACGCTGCCACCATGCAGCCTCAGCTCTGCCTCGGCCTGGTTGTTGCTGCCTGGGTCATCGGCTTCACCCTCCTGAGCTGCCACCCGCTCTTCCTGTCTCAGCTGTCCTTCTGTGGCTCCAACAGGATCCCCCATTTTCTTTGTGACA